TGAGCTCCGTCTGGGTGGAGGCCTCAGAAGAGCTCATGGTGGGCGGCAGCCCCCGGGCGGGGCCCCTGGCAGCCGCCTACCATGCTGTGGCCCAGAGAGGGAGGAAAACGAAGGGAGCAAGAGGGCAGGCAGGACTCCAAAAGTGTATGACCAACTTATTGTATGACATATAGTCATGGCTCAAGGGAAATGCAGCCTTACATGGCAGAGGTCAATAACCCACAGCCTGTGGGCCAGATTCAGCCCACCAGGTGAACGGATACAGCCTCAGATTTGGCAGCAAATCAGCAGTGCAAGGTTGGGGAGCAGTGTGTGTGCTGGAGGGGGGAGCAGCCAGGTCAGAAGCGGCTGCCTATCTTCCGACCCAGCTCCATTAGAGCTTTCTTGCTCCACCAAAAGGCGACCTGTGCAGTGCTGTGTTAGGGCCAGCTATAAAATCCTCTGGAAAAAAAATATAGGATGAGGAGAAATACAGAGCTATTACTACCCTTACATGATTATGGTCAAAATAAATGTGTTTGTATAGCATTAAGATACCACAGTAATGAAAAGTCCACGAAGAATTGAATAATTCCATCTTCACAGCAGGATTTGAACACTGTTGAGTTAATGTGGATGTTGAACAGGTCTAAGGTAAGTAAGGGCCTGAACTCGAGCTCATTGAATTTAACTCATTTCAGTGGGTTCAAAGCAGGCCTCATCTAAGGAAAAGTTACTGATCCTGCGAACATGTTTAAAATGAACAGCAGGCTGAGGGACTGCTTTCTGTAGAAATTGAGTGGTGAGACTGAAAAAGGATCAAGAAGACTTCCTACTTACTTTGGAGGTGATAGAATTTTGTTTTGTTTTGGTTTGTTTTTTCCTATGCATTAATGAGTCAAGATGTGGTTTTTTGCCAAACAAGTCAGTAACAGTTATTTGGTTATCGCTTTCATTTCTTTGTTCTTTTTGCCATTTAGAACTTGAAGAATCACAACGGAAATGTCCTCCCTGCTTGAACAAGTTTGCTTTAAAGTATCTTATTTGGGACTGTTGCCCACTGTGGTTGCAAATCAAAAAAAGAGTGTCTCTTTTTATAATGGATCCATTTATTGACCTCTCTATCACTCTCTGTATTGTGCTGAATACTATCTTCATGGCATTGGAGCATCATAACATGTCAAAAGACTTTAACCACATGCTAAAAATAGGCAATCAGGTAAATGAATTCTGCTATTCATGATATTCTGTATTGAGGATTAATTTATGGACATTTCTACCCAGGATACAAACAATGATTAGTCATAACCATTTTAACTATTCATTTCTAGGTTATAAGATTTCCAAATACTTTTAGTTTATAGTTATACCATTTAGATTGCAAAAGAAACAATGAATTATGTAAAGTTGTGTTTCAAGTAGGGTATGCTGGTAAGACTTCATTGATTACTCTGACTACATTACTATATTTATGGGAAGGGAGCTGAAAGAGAAGAGATACTGAGATTACCTTACTATTTCTTTGTCACAGATCTTTACTGGAATTTTTACTGCAGAAATGATCTTGAAAATCATTTCTCTAGATCCCTACTATTATTTTCAACAGCGCTGGAATATTTTTGATAGTTTAATTGTAACCCTCAGTTTAATTGAACTGGCTTTACCAAGAGGCAAAGACAAAAAGAAAGGAACTTTTTCCGTTTTACGCTCCTTCAGACTGGTAATGTTTCATTCTTCTTTAATTGCATAAAATGTAATGTCATAAATATATTTGAAAGGATTTATGTTACTACATTTAGTGCAACGAAAATTGAATTCTACCCTCTCAGTTCTAGGAATGGGAAATATATTTTTTCCAGTATCAACTTTTAGATATGTAAGTTTTACTCAAATTTGTGTAGCAGTTGTATTTCACTTGCAGATGATTAAAAGTCTATAGAGAAAAAGAGGTAAAAGAAACAGGCAATGTAAAACTGTAGTGAAAACTAAAATTTAGAATAAAAGCATGAGACTAAAGACAGAAAATCTGTGAAAGAAAAAGCAAAGCAAGAGAAGGAGAAAGCTCTTAAAATAAATGTTATGCATACATGAAGATGTGTATATATATATTTGTGCTCCTCTGGATTTTAGGAAGGAGTTAGACTTATCTGTTTGTACAATATCTCATACTTTAACTAGAAACTCATATTTCAAAAGTGAACAACCTTGGGGGGAAAGCATGCTTTAATTTAAAGGGATTTGGTAAAAAGGTTTGAACACCTTTATATTTGTTTCCTCCTTTGTACTGCAAGTGCTGTTGCAGCTTTGTCCTTTACACCTCCTCTTTGTAGAAATGCTTTTGATCAATTAGGATTTCCCCACGCCTTCCCCAAATTCTGAGCTCTAGTCTCCAAGAGTGAGAAAAATCAAAGGTCCCTACAAGCTTGGATAGCTCGTTAGATTATTATGGCCAAGGCCTTCCACTTCCAGAGCAAAGGGCACACAAGAGAGTTATGTGGCTACTATCATGTCTAGTTCCCCTCGTCTCCCCAGCCCAAATGATCAACCACCTGTTTTCAGTTGGGTTCACTTGGGAAAGCCTTCATTTGTGAGTCTGGAGCAAGGATCACTCCTCAATTCTCAATCCAGAGGCAGAAACTTTAACTACTTTGAGTCCATGCCTTTCAAACTCCAGGAGTGAGGAGCTATTATAACACTTGTTTTCAAAGACTTTTACTCACCTGTTCCCGATTTCTAAACGCATTGTACTCTGGTTGTAATAGATTCTTCACAGAATTAGGGGGTTTTGTTTCTTTCCAACACAGCAAAAAGAGCTAGTCATTTAGGTAGTTACAGGCTTTAGAGCAGGGGTGGGCAAAATGCAGCCCATGGGCCAGATCCAGCCCTTCAACTGACTGGATCTGGCCCACAGCTGCCCCTGCAGTGCTCAGAGACAGCCTGCACCATGCCCCTGACTGCGCCTGCAGGCCCACATCCTGGCCAGAGGGGCAGGTAGGTGGAGGTGGGGGGAGCTTCAGTTGAGCGGCTCCTTCCCCAGCATGCGGGGTTCCCGCTCTAGCCTGGGCTGCTCATCGTGCCAGGCAGGTGGAGTGGTTGGGAGGCAGCAAGGAGCTGGAGCCTCATGCACAGGAGCTGCCTGGTTTGAAGCTTCCTCCCCCTCATTCAAGCAGTCCAGCATGAGCAAGAGCAAGAGCAGGAACTGCCACTGGGGAGGGGAGGGGAGGGGAGGGGAGGGGAGCAGCACCTGGCCAGCTGCAGCCACACCAGGAGCAGCCCTGCTAGAAGCTGTGCAATGGCCGAGGCAATGCAGGTTGCCCCAGATGGGAGTGGATATGGCTTGGCCCCATGCAAAATGCCGTAGGGGCAGCTGCAGACCACACTGTCTAAGCAAGCCCTGCTGCACCTGCACCTGCCCCTCCCCGCACCTTCCCCTCCCTCCACCTTCTCCTCCCTCCTTCCACCCCCAGCTGGCTCCCAAAACCTAGCACCCAGGCAGCCCCCCCACCTCCACACGCCCCCCATACACACCTACCCCATCACCTCCAGAGGGCGCGGACATGGCTTGGCTCATCCCAGGCCCTGGCCCTGAACTGTCACTGCCCCATGAGCCTGGCCTCCCTTGCTTCAAAAACTTCTCTCTGCCTGCCCAAAACCCCACAGGGAGTATTGTGAGTTGTTGTTTGGTGGGGGGGGCACTGACCCAGCCTGCTACAGCTCATCAGAATTCGTTATGTGGCCCACCAGCCTGAATAATCACTCACCCGTGCTTTAGACCTTTAGTTGTTCCAAACTAAAAGTTACCAGAAGTACAAATTTCAAATATGGTGAACTGGTATAACAACTATAAATAGGAGAACAAGATTTATGGGGCCGGGGGGGGGGGGGGG